AGCCTGCGTTCAGTTTATAGTCGGAGTGCAGTTGGTCCATGTTAGTGTCAAAATCGATCATAGACTGAGAGTAGGAACGGCCCATGTTAGTGAGGGTCCAGAAATTGCCAAAAAAGGCGCTAATACCGTTTCCCCAGGAAGTCACCGGTTCCAGTGGTCCATGTTAAAGCGCACTTGAAGTTGAGTTACGGTCTATGTTGTTTTTCCCCGGAGTAGACGGTTGCAACTTGCGAGTCCCCGGCTCGGCCGTCCTCAAAAACACAACAGAAAAGTTGTCAGCGCTAAACAGAGTTTTGCGAGCATTCAATTCTCAGAGTTGTAGAGCTTTTTGTATTCTCATCGTTCTCAGGCTTTTTGACTTCTTTCAGGATGAGCGCTATGCGTACCTTGGCTGTGTACTGGGTCTTTAATGGCCACGAAACACGAAGAACCGCGTTTCTCCGATTCTGGGCGATCACTTCGTGTTTTTGGTGCGTGGGCAGTTAGGTACTTCATTATGGAGTCTGTCAATGGTGGCACGCTGCGCCAACTCTTGACAACCCTCCACAGTGACAAAGGCGTGATGCACCTGTTTCAGCTTTGCATCTGCAGTCAGGCCACCAAGACCACTAGACTAGAGCTTCAAGACAGGGAAAACTGGAAGCACCCCGCTCAGCCAACATGCCCGTCATTCCATGTATATATGGGTTCAGTCCGTTCAGTGCTCGATCATTGGAATTATGGTCCGTCGGCCAAGACTGCAGGCTCGCGTATCAGTGAAGGATATGTGGCTGAACTGTTGCACCAAGCGCTATACGCACTGAGACATTTGCACTTTGTTTCTTGGCACGCAGAGTTGGCAGGCACACTCATCAAACGGTTGACGCAGGATTGAAGCACACTTTTTGATTCTCACTGTTGGTGTCATGCCTGATGTTTTGATGCAGTTTGGACTGACATGAATTCATCAGTTCCTCTCAGGAATCTCGCATCCACAAAGATGTGAAACTGGAAAACTTGATGCTTTTGGCTCCGAGTGGCCCACCTCACTTGGTCTTGATCGACTTGGGCGTGGCGGAGACCCTCCAGCCTCAGCAAGGCGGGTCCTCCGAGTATGGTGCTCACGTGGAGGCCAACTCAACCCGGGAGACGGAATCAATCAATGACATTATTCTTCTAAAACTCGGCAGTTTTCGAAAGATTAAAAAGTGAATTTCTGTTATGACTGACCAAAAAGCTCTTAGGGGCTCCTGGCATCGCTGCTATGAGCAAGGACGCTACTAGGGGCTCCTGGCCGTACTACTAGGAACAAGAAGCTACAAGGGGCTCCTACTTGAGTTCTGGATGGCTGGACGTTTGGCATTTCATGGAATGCATCAACGCCCGGCGACAGCGACGCTGCACGCCCGACAGCTGCAGAGGTGAAGCGGGCCCAATGCCTGCCGGCACACCTCAGACCATGGCGCCTGAGGTCATCGACTGTATGCTGGGTAAGAGGGCCAGCTGCTTGTCTTAATAGTTGTTCATCCTGAACATTGAGGAGTTTCGTTGTTCCTACCATGAGAAGCGCCGAAGCGCAGTAAAATGAGCATTTGAGGTTTCGACGACAAATGCGACGTGTTCAGTTTGGGCATTGTGGCGCATCAGCTGTTCACAGGGGAAGTGCCATACAAAGTGGCTTACACTGGCGGAAAGTCTTATGGCCCTGTGGACTACGAGAAAACACGCGCCAATATGGAGAGATCTCGGGGCACAGATGTTGCACTGTGCGTGTTTGAGCTCCGCACAGTTAGAGACACCATGCGGAAGCACCGACCGCATGGCCAGTTGTCAGAGAAAGCCTAATGCTAGTTGACCTGACTTTGAAGCTTTCAAGGGTCTGCAACCGCAAGCTTACTTCATGCTATGTAAAGGTACACCATTCCATCATTCGTGCCGACCCCTTCTCGGAATGTGGATTTCGACCCTGCCATCTTGGAGCAGATCCAAGACCATCGATCCGAATGCATGCGCGTGAGGAGGAAGCCGAGCTCACGGGGCAACTGAAGGTCTCTGAAGGCGCTTTGGATTTCATCAAACGGATGTTGCAGCTGGATCCTGAGAAGCGGCCGAGCAGCCTGGACTGCGGGTCATGTTGGAGACATTTCTTCAGGGCACAGGATCCAGGATGCTTTTTATAAAAATAATTGAACAAATGTATTACTTACTTTTAAAATAACTTGGATTTAAGCGGTGAAAGCAGACCGTGAGACGACTCAGTCAGAACAAAGCACCTTGTTGGGGGTTGGAGGTGTCCGAACGTTGAACTCCATGTGCCCGCAGGAGTGTTTAGAGCACCCCTGGTTGGTGAACTGCTGCGAGCGTCGGCGGATCCGCAGACTTCGAGCAGAGGGGCGCACCTCCTTGGGAGGTGCTTCCTTGTAACACGGCTTCTTGAGGGCGAAAGGGGCTAAAATAGGTTGCCCGACTTTATCCTGGGCAATCATTGGCTAAGCCCCTATGAGTGCCAGCAAAGGGTCGAAACAAAGTACTGCGAGCAATTACAGTGTGTAGGTTGGCCTTTCGATGAGCAGGTTGGCAAGGTTGGAAACAAATGGAGCAGAGACGAACAGATACTGTAAATGCTGCAGCACATTTTTTTCAGTCTTTTGCGGCGTCCTCATGGAGTGCAAAGACCACGATAATCGTTGTTTGAAATATAGACTTTTGGTCCCAGGTCGATCGAGGCTGACCAAGCTGCAGGAGAAGAGTTGTTGTGGATGGAGAGGCAAGTTGTTCTAGATGTTGAGCAATGTCCAGCCTTTGAGGGGTAGCAAGATGGGCAGAATGTGAGGAGAGTGGATGAGTCTTCCATGATACTGATGACAGCAATGCAAGCAGGCGGCGAGTTTGTAAAGCACTGGTGCGTTTTGCAAAGCGGACCCCTTTGCAGCGGGCTGTGGCCTACCACCTGGCTGCCTACCTCCCTGTGGGCTGGAACCTCAGACCTGAAGTCTATCACAGATCAATTGCGAGACATAGAGCGCTGGCTGATTTGAAGACCATTGTCGTTCCTTGTGGTCGTTTCAAGTCATTCCGTGCTTCCCTCCCTCTCTCTCTCTCTCTCTTTCTCCAAGATTGTACATTACAGTAGTAGCAGATAATATTCACATATACACAATTGAAGATATTGAACTCTTTGAAGAATCAGTTCAATTTGACCCCTGGCGCTCTGTCAGAGGTGACTTGCGGAGAGCTGCTGACAGCTTCAAGCGAGTGGACCAGGCTAAGAGTGGCTGAAGCCTTAGAATGCGGCTCCGAGCGAGCACTCGTGATTCATAAGCTCCTTCTGTTTCAAGGAGCCATGGCAATCATGTTAGAACTCAGCTTTTGCATGTATGCAGCCAGTTCTCAGTCTAATGAGCATTTTTTGGGTGTGGGTGGGTGGGTCTTGAAGAACGCTTTGTGGCTACTTGGCTTAGCGAGATGCTTGAGAAGGGGTGGGACAGTGATGACATGCCTATTTGAGGCCACATCTCTTATGATGAGATTGCGAAAGCATTAGAGGAGACCAGCACCATGCTTGATTGCTGAAGTGGTCCAGGTGATGTGAGGGTTGTTCTCCGCTTGGTCACCGCTGCAATAGCAGTTGGCAAAAGAGTTGGAGGCAGACCAACCCATTTGTCAGGGCAGACCAATCTGTGTCAGACTCCGCAGGATGTCCTTGGAATTGACCGTGAGAATGGTTTGCTGGTGGCAGCTGCCATGGACACGGATCACACAAGTCGATTAGAGACTTGGTCAAGCAGACAGCCAGAGAGCTAGGCCCGCACAGAGAGAGAGAGAGAGAGAGAGCGAGAGAGAGAGAGAGAGAGACAGAGAGAGAGAGAGAGAGCGAGAGATACAGAGAAAGAGAGAGAAAGAAATAGAAAGAAAGAAAGAAAGAAAGAGAGAAAGAGAGAGAGGGAGAGAGGGGTTGGCAGGTCCGCAGCCACAAGGGTGGGAGATGAGAGAGAAGCCAGCCAATACATTTCAAGACTTGAACTGACTGTTCTGCCTGCCTGTCAAGCGCCTGAATATCCGCGAAATTCCGCGAATAATATCGAATAATGCCAATAATTAATAACATGTGCTACGACCGAGGATTTCCAGGAGTTTTCAGCGGCCTTAGCAATGGTCTCCGGCAACCTGGCTGCGCCATAGTGCCACAATGCGACATATCCGGTGTAGGATGGTGTTGCTAGTTCCGGACCGACTAATTGTTCTTTCCATGTTGAGATGAGCAGTCGCGGGGCAATAATGCTCGCAGGCGTTTTGCAAATTAAGATGTACCAAGTGGCTTCACTGCACCTATGTGGTGCAAGTTCGATGGACCTGATTAAAGCAGTCCCTCACGTGAACCCAGACAACGGCAACCTCTCACTGACTCACTTCCCTGGAGCTTCTTGCAATTGTTGAACCATGTGGACCCAAAGCGACACCTGACAATGGCTCGCCGTTGCTAAATCAGGCGACCGAGAGCAGCGCCTCTTTGATAAGTTGCTGCTTGGACAATTCATTTTGGCACACCTCAGCCTCAACGCGTCAACGTTGGTGGGATATGGCCCAAATCCCCACGAGAGGTTCGTTCGAACCGTTCGAACATCACTCTTGAAGAATCAGCGACACAATTTTAACACAACGATTTTTTGAAACAGGTTCTCTTGGAACATCCCACTACTGGACCGCTGCCCGTGGAGACTTCCAGAGGCTGGCGAAGTTGCAGATCTCTCCGGAGCAGGACCTGACGTTTGAGGAGGTCCATGCAGCAGTGGAGCAGGCCATGAAGCAAGAGGCGAAGCAAAGGGGCTGGGGATGGATGGGGACGAAGGGGTGGGTGATGGGTGGTGGCTGATAGATTCTGACCTGACACATGCAGGTCACGAGAGAAGAGCTGGTGCACTGGCTGGGCAAGGTGGCCAAGCGTAGCTTGGCTGTGAATCAGTCATGGACAAAGCTGTTCCAGAAATATGACGACATTTATGATACACCTGGATGCGCCTGTAAGTGTGCCGTCCTGTACTCGATCGACATGTTGAATAGCTGTAGTCGTAGTCCCAGTCGGAGTAGTTCGTGTTGTTGTTGTTGCTGCTGCTGCTGTTGTGGAGGATGTGTGCAAGCTCAGATGCCACTCGTATCCTAGCGTGTGCACCTGAAAGGGTGCGACAACAATCATGCCAGACTCAAGTGCAGTGTAGTGCTTTGTTTGCCAGCCATGCAGCAACACTGATCGCTTTGAGTTTGTCAAGGACAGCAGAAAGAACTTTACGACAATCCGGCTGGCATCGTGTCGAATGCTGATTTCCGAAAGCTCTTCGGACAGCGGAGCCTCAGATCAGCTCAAAGTCGATGAGGGTTGTCGGGTTGTGTGCAAGTAATGATCACGTAACGATAGGTCGAGATATGCAGTTCAGTTATTGATGTTCAGTTATAATATTGTTGTTGGTGCCAATGGAGGACCCTGTCCTCGGCTGTCCCGCAGCCTGGCACGTCGGGTTCACATCAAAGAAATGTGTGATGCATGTACAGCAAAGCCTGACCAGGGTTCTACAAGTGGACCCAGGCTATCCTAATGATCCTAATTTTAGCTGGGCCATAGGAGTCGTTTGCAAGTTGGATTTAGAACTCGCACAAGAATTGCGATGCGCTTGCAGGTAAAGTGGGGGTTTAGCTTGGAACAGTTGCCGATGCTCTTCCAGTCATTGTTAAGTCCGAGAAAGACCGTCCGTGCCTGCTATGCTCGCAAGTGGCAAAAGAACGTGAAAACCAAGTGGGGGAGCTGCAGCTAGTGACACTGTCATTTTCCCTCCAAGAACAGTGACTGTTCTTTGTTTGTGAGTAGTGTTTCCAAGGCCGAGGGAAAGGTTTACTGTATATAATTAGTATGTTGTGTTCCTTCAAGAGCACAGGCCGTCATGGTAAAGCCCATTCACATCCATTCAAGATCATTCAAGCAAAGGCTGCTTCCTGTTGTTGGAACTCCCAAGATTTGCATAGGAGTTTGACGCATCATTTCTGCAAAAAAGACCCGACACATGTTCTGCTGACATCCTCCTCAACATCAGTAGTTTCAAGGAACTGTGATTTGCCACCACCTGGTGTGTTGCAAGTACGCCAGCATAGATCCCGGATAGCACAATATACTTGTGGGCAGCACCTAAGCGCTTTGTTTTTCGTTCAACGTGGACGTAGACGCGATCTGGCAGTCACACCCTGTAGCAGCCAGTCCCCAAAGCGCACACGGGTACCTCATGACCTCTTCCTCTTCCTATAATTTCTTGAAGTAAGAACCCCAGTAGCTCTCGCTATCTGGGGAATTACAACCACATGCACAGGCTCACCTGCTGAGCACCTGCTGTGGCAGCAGTTGTCACTTACGCTATGAAAATGCCTTGTGATGAGAGGCAACCGCTGTTTTGCAGTCTTGCCTTGGTCAATGCACTGCTTTCTGGGCTCAAAGGGGTGTCACGAGGGGTTGAGGCCCACGCTGGGTGTACAGCACTTGGGTCAGTTCGCCCGCGCTTCTTCCATGGCTGCGGTGTTGGAGCTGCAGCAACAGTTGCAGGAACGCCCGATCAAATCGATGCTGTTGTTATGGGTTTTTATATGTTTAAGCACCTCCTAAACGTCCACAACTAGTGTCATTTGAAACAACCGAGTGAGTCTCACCGATCTTCGATCTGAAAGGGTGAAACATGGTGGAACTGACTCTGACAGCCAATCTTGGTGAAGGACCATGGGCAGCAGCTGGCGCAGCTGTCCAGGCAGCTGCAGAACATGGAGAGTTTGCTCCGCTCACACGAGGACATTGCAACATGCCAAGCAAACTCATCTGGTGAGCATGTTTGGGTGCACTCTCTTGCGAACATTTGGCTTGGAGAAGTTGTGACACTGTCACCGTACCATATGCACAAATCTAATATGCAGAGATCAAATTTCATGGATGATGACAGAATGTAAACAAGAGCGAAGAGTGGCAGACGGCAGCTTTTCCAGTAGCTGGCTGTGAACGTAGAATTGACGTGCGCTGGGTAGGAGCCCTTCACCAGTTTGAAGACGCCGCGGCTGATTGGTTCGCCGCCGGCAGTGTCGCCAACAGTGACCTGTCAAGAGTTTTGGGCCACATGCACAACATGCTCCAGCAAACATACCAAGTTGATAAAACCAGCCACAAGCCATGGCTATCCCAAAGGTCATCCCAACCTTCCGATTCAAAGCAGATTGTTTTCACCTCTTGGGCCGCGACTCCAACGGCGGCTGGCCGGCCCCTTCGCCCGGCGTGTCCCAAGGAGCGTCATCGGGCGCCCAGCTGCAGCACGGAGGTGGAGATCGCCCAAGCGAGGTGGGAAGCATTGGTCAACATGAGCCTTGGCTGCCAAAGTGCTGCCTTGGCCTCTCTGTTTTGCCCGTTGCTCGGCATGAGTTTATGTCATGGGTTCTTTTTCTCGGAACATGTCATCAAACAGAACGAAACTGTTCTGCGTATGGCTTGCTCTCCCAGAGATTGAATGTGTATGTCCAGAAGGCGATGCTTGTTCAAATGCAATGTGCGTTACCTCACCGTCACCTGCAAGTATTCACGTTTACCATGAAAGAATGCAGGCAATGTGCAGCAACTAGCAGTGTTTTTCCTCATGCCAGTTTCGCATATGATAATGATCAATAATGTGATATAACAATATATTATATATAGATGCATAATTAGTATAGATGCCTTGGTTAGCACTAAAGTAGTCAGCTGGAATCCAGTGTCCATGTTAGTGACAAAACCTGGGTGAAACATTGTGATTCTTTACACAGACAAACGTTGTTTGATTCCACTGATTTTTTTGCAAAGTCCATGCAAGTCGCCTGATCAATGATGGGCAAGTCTTTTAATGTCGTTAAGTGGAAAACTTGGAAACCCAAGAGGAGAGTGTGCCCAGGAAGTGAATTTTCCGCGAGGGGGTTCTAACCCCACATTCCGTTCCCGGAAACCCTGCGTGGTGCGGGAATTTCTGCGCACGATTAGGATCGAGCTTGAAGAGCAAGCGCGGGCAAGAGATGTCGCTGAGCTGCGAAAGCTGCTCGAACAAGCGAGTGCCTTGGATGGGATTGTTGTTGCCCATGTTGAGCCCGCTGAAGCGTTGGCAATGGTTGATGTAGGAAGTCTTAGGAAGTCTTTTGCCAAAGCACATTTTCCCGTTTTTAAGCCATGCCGTTTCACGCATGCAGTTCTAGCATTCAGCCGTACTCCTGCTTTACAGCCAAGGCAGAACACAACGGTCCAATTTGGATGAGAATGCAATGTGCTTCGTTTCTTTGATTTATTGAATGCCAACATGCAACATGACTGTTTCTGGCTGTTCAGTGCTTCCCGCGTGAAGTTGGATTTGAGGAAGCAAGTCTGGCCAAGCTGCGCTCCGAGTGGGAGGGAGCCTTCAACCAGATTAAAGTCTCTTGGCCAGATGAGTGGTAACAGCAATCTGCAATTTGAATTTGATTCTGTGGTCGGTCCGTTGCTTCCTGGTGTCAGGACAAGTTGACGAAGCAAGAGGAGGCCATCAAAGACTTGGCTTCAAGGTGGCGAGTGTTTCATGAGGGTGTGAATTTCTTTACTTTTGCTGGAATAGGCTGTCGAGTGAAAGACATTTTTTGTTTAGCAGGACCTGCGTGTGGCATAGGTGTGTCATTTCGTCCCAACATGGGCTTCCATGCTGGTAGACCTGCCAGGCCCTCCAGCAAGGAGTTTGATGACCTCAAGGCTTCAGTAAATTGGTGAGTTGGTGCGGTGCACTGCGGTAAGCTTGGTGAGTGGTGTGCTTCTTGAAGATCTAGTCATTTGCAGAATGGTCTGTTTGGTTGTCAAGTTGCAAGTCTTTGGGTATTTTAATTTGTAATTTTGGGGCTGTCAAGAGCGTGTTGCTAACATTGAAATCATTGTTGCCCGAAAGAATCTAAAAGATGTGAAGTCCATGATACTCGTAATTATTCCATGATGCTCGGAACAGCACTGCCGGACACTGAGTGATCAGGCAGGCTGTTACGCGGTCACTAACAGAAACAATAGCAAACAAAGCCGTTCATTGTTGGATCAACAAGAACACATTCGAACTTTCCGTGCTGTTTCCGGCTTTCTCTGCGCAGGCCAAGAGCGATTTGTTTGCCACAGCCATGGATGCGAATCTTGGCACAGCATTTCTGTTTTGCGCTTGAAGCATGTGGGAAACATTTGATGGCAGTGATGTTGATGTGATGCTGTGATGCAGAATTGGAGCATTCCGACCATTTTCTCCCACCATACATTCCAGTTGAGTGGCTTGGCCAAGGATGTCTTCCAAGCTTGAGCATGGCCTTGACACCATGGAGGCATGCTACACTTCAGCTTGTTAAACTGAACGGCATGTTTGCAATTCTTGAGTTATGACAAGACCATGCTGCAAGACATTGTTGGTGCCCTCCCTGATCACTAGACATTTGACATCGTGCCTTGAGTTGAAGGTCTTGAAAGGGCCTTTGCTCACTTCAGTCGCGGTACCAGCTGCAGCTGAAGGCCTTTTGTGGGTGTCTTCAGATCACGGGCAACTCATTCAAAAAAGCCTTTGGCACAAGCTCTAGCAGGAGTGAGCCACAAACAGGCGCAGTGTGGCAAGAAGCACAAGACATCAAAAAACCAATATCAGCGGGGCCAACCAGATCGATGGGGGCCTTGGCATACTAGTCAGATTTATCGACGATGCTGGCAGCGCCCACAGGCAATCGCCTTTCTCAAAGCCTGGCGCATGCTAAGAGCCAGGACGCTCTTGGGGAGAGTTACTTGGCAAGCAGGACAATTGCAAAATTGATTTAGCCTCGAAGCAGTTCTTGGGAATTGATAGAAGAATCACTCGCAATGATTGCCCATTGACACTATGAAATTCCAGCAACCTTTTATATATTATATGTGTTTTTTTTTGTGTGTGAGTTTTTTGCTAATGCCAGCGCCCCGTTTTCGATCAAGAAACAGTTTCTCCGACCACGACCCGACCGTTCATCAGACTTTAGTGTGACCGGTGAGGTGCACAGCATCGGCGGACCAACAGCTCTTCGCCCATCAGCAGGAATGCCTACGCACGACTTAGCCCTGGCAAGTCGCACACGATTAGTGTCATGCCAGATGCAAGAACTCCTGTTTTACCGCAGAGCCTCGGGTCGATGTACTGCTCGTCGTGCGAAGATTGCGGAATGTGCGAAGATTGCTATCTGATGCGATGCGTAGATCATTGATGATAATTGTATGTATGGATGATTATGGATGGATGAGATGGCCATCATTGTATGTATGACATGGTGCACACGAGTCGAAGACTGACTTCACGCCAAAGCTCAATGCAT